ATTAAACTTTTCTGTTTCTTATAGCAGTTTTGTATTGTTTGTAGTGTGATCAACGTTTGCTTAAGTAGTAGATGTGTTAGGGAGGTAACATTTTAATTATATTTTGCTAAAATGAACGGAATGACTCGAAAAAAAGATTCGTTAATTTTGCTGAACGAGACTCAGAGGTCCGAGTCGGTAAAATGATCCGAACTTCCCATCACTAGATGCAACAATGACTCGATGAGGCAAGTGTTATAAACTCGAAAGCAGATTAAACATAATTCTATTATACAGAGATAATCCGACACCCCACTTTGTTCCGGGACCTCGCAATTTACAAATTAAGCATTGGTCCACCCTCCGCCTATGATAACAGCGTATTAATAAAAAGGTAACATTTAATCAATAACTACTTAAGGCAAATATAAAAAAAAAACCTTTAATTTTGATTTCATGGGGACTTTAAGGTTTTAATGGTATTATTACTCTTATAATACTGCTTATCTATCTGGTGCTTCTTCCCGTTTTTTTTTTTTTTTTTTTTTTACAAAACTGAATGTCTTTATATTCTGACATGTAAAATCTATAGCAAAAAATAGCATGTTTGAACAAATTGCTATTATAAAAACATATAATTGTATATTGAATGACTATAAAACATATAACTGTAATTGCACCAGTATGAAAGCATTTTTTAGTGTTTAGTATAAAGTTTATACATCATTTTGATACTAAAGAAAAAACTGAAGTCTAACAGTAGTATTCAGGTAAATAATAACCTACAAAAGAAAATGAATAAACTAATCAAATGTAAAATAAAACTCCATAGTCTTCACTTTATAAACTGGTGGATTAATGCTTATTAAAGCTACTGAAGTCTGTGGGCTCCGGTCACAGAACCAAGGCGTGGGCCCCTCACCACACTAAAACCCCACTGCTTTATTTTCACTATGATGCACAACTTTTATTTACAAGAAAATTATGTATTAAAACATTAGAATGTTCAAATATATTTTAATTAAGCAATCATTAATTGCTTTAAAAATATCAATTGAAAAGTCAGTAATAAAATGAAGAAATTACTTTTTCTTTCATCTGTTTATCACTGTCAATCATTTCAATTTCAGGAGAGACTAACGGAATGATAGCAGATTCACTCTTGTATTCATATGCGGTTGTCAACCCTGAAACTGTGCAGCGTGTAGTGTTTTAGCAGCATGAAAAATACACAACTTTATTGAAATTGGAATATATACTCACGAAGTGTGCTCCCTTTAATCACTGAGGCTGTCAATAACGAACATGAATACGTACGGGACTGTCTGAATGCAGTCACCTTTCAGCAGGTCTCTAAGAAAGACTGGTAACGTCACATTTTTACAATTTATGAATACACTTTTTTAACAGCACTTACACTGAGGCAAAGGGATAACACTTCTCTCACAAGGTTCTCTATTCTTCTAAAAACAATAGCTAGAATTTGTTTGCCCTCCTGCAGCTTTATTTCCCTCTTTCCACTACAAGACCAAACCAAAGTGGATAGGGGATCGCCAACATGCACACCCTGCGAGGCTAATCAAATATAGTTCTCATTTTAAAGGGTGGAAAGTTGAGTCTTGCAAAATGTTATTCCTACTGATAGCATGTTATTATAACTATGTAATTTTGTCATGATAATATTATGGATTATACATATATCTTTGTAGGCCCCCCTCCCTGAGGGCCCATGTTATCTACTTAGTGCCACTATTACCCCCTTTCCGACGTTTAGGCGCACACCAGAAACCCAGAATTTACTTTGATCGTGTTTTGCTTTTGTGGAAAAAATATTTCATTCCATTTTTTGGGAACTTGGGGGTCCCTGATAATCAAATTTACATAAAAAAAATAAACAAATAAGTCAAATAAACGAATCAGTAAAAACTACTAATTTAGCTCTCACAAGGTTCTCTATTCTTCTAAAAACAATAGCTAGAATTTGTTTGCCCTCCTGCAGCTTTATTTCCCTCTTTCCACTACAAGACCAAACCAAAGTGGATAGGGGATCGCCAACATGCACACCCTGCGAGGCTAATCAAATATAGTTCTCATTTTAAAGGGTGGAAAGTTGAGTCTTGCAAAATGTTATTCCTACTGATAGCATGTTATTATAACTATGTAATTTTGTCATGATAATATTATGGATTATACATATATCTTTGTAGGCCCCCCTCCCTGAGGGCCCATGTTATCTACTTAGTGCCACTATTACCCCCTTTCCGACGTTTAGGCGCACACCAGAAACCCAGAATTTACTTTGATCGTGTTTTGCTTTTGTGGAAAAAATATTTCAT